GCAAAGGAGGAAAGAATGAGAGTTATATGTGTTGATGTTTAGTCCATTGGTATAAGTCATATTGTTCAGTGGTGCAAAGGAGGAAAGAATGAGAGTTATATGTGTTGATGTTTAGTCCATTGGTATAAGTCATATTGTTCAGTGGTGCAAAGGAGGAAAGCTGTTTGTATAGGTGTTTAGACCATTGGTAAAAATCACCTTTTTCAGTGTAATAGTTCCCCGGTGGGACTGAGGTAAGTCTATTGGCTTGCAATGCTAAAATTCGGGGTTTGATTCCCCACATTGACACAGTAGATAGCCCAATGTCACTTTGCTATAAAATAAACAATCAGTGGAATAAAGAAGGAAAAATTTTTGTGTAGGTGTTTTATTAGTAAAAGTCATATTTTTCAGTGGAATAATCGAGGAAAGTTATTGTGTAAGTGTTTAGTCTTCTTGTTCAGTGGAATAATGGTAGAGATTTATTTGTGTTGGTCTTAGCATGCCACTGTGGATCTGAGGGTTCATCAGTCCCATTATGCAGGCAAAAATACAACAAAATCATGCTCCACACTTTGGGTAGAGCTGGGTGGTTAGTAAAATTTTCTAATTGATTAATCACTGGGCTCATTAATTGCTTAAATTTAGTTAATTGATTATACTTGCACTTGGCTTGAATAGTTGGAATAATAAAAAAATAGTAATAAATAAACACTAATTTCAACTAGTTGATTATTTTATATGATGTAACTGATGCTTGTAAGTAATCAATTTTGTCAATGAATTGAGTTAATTGCCCAGCTCTAGCCATGGGTGTGCTAAGAATGACTCTTAAAGCCCTCTTTTTCAATCAGAATAGCTTAAGGCTTGTTAGTAGGTAATGTTGACTGTTTGATTTCCAGTTAGTCTATAAATACAAAACTAGAAACAGCCAGTGCATATAGCTTTTGTGTAACTTTGCATGAATATTTGAATCTAAACTTGTCCTCAACCTCGACTTAAGTACAAATACTTTGTCAGCATTAGTTCTTTTATAATAAACTTACTGCAGAGCCATGTAATTGTTTACTTGAAAGAAAGCAGAAAATAAATATGGCTCAAGCAAGTTTTTCATTTCATCGGGCATTTCTGCTTATCTCTAAATATCTTTTAGATCTAAACTTGTTTATCATTGTTATTTATAACTGCATACATTATGCCTGACATCAGATTTTACATGAAATGAAATTGCCTGTTTATATTGTTTTTTTTCAATACAATTTTACAAAACTTCATTAAATACGTGGTTGTTTGTGTTATTTTTGAAACGTTAATATTTACGTTCCTATTTTGATATATGATCAACAAAACATATGATTTTCATATGAACATTTTGTCATTTGAAATCTACGCAAGTAGTTCATATTTCTGTCATAATGAATATTTTTACTAGGATATATAGTGCAGTGTATGGTAGCATGATTGATTTATGTTATCTTTTATAACCTCCTTTTACAGGTCCATGAATCATACTACAAACATCTACAACCATTCATCAAGTCAAAGATGTAGAGATCATTCAGTTGCTGAATAGCATCTCAAACAAACCAATGGTGTTTTAGTATCGAACAGTCCAAGTACTTTCCTGAACAAAGGTTGTTTCTGTACAACTACGCCAATATAGTTTAAATAATTGGGTTATATTAATTTGGTATTGTGTTTAGATATATCAGACATGCAAATAAGGAATTAATTTTATTCTGTTTTGAAATAAAATAGTTGATTAACAAATTTGTATAACCAAAGGCTATAAAAATTCAACTACATTATAATTAAACATGTTTTTACACAAAGTTGCTAAGAAAATTCCTGTGGAGTGTTTCTATTAACCATTATTGTGATATTATAATTTGTGATACAAATTGTAACAATTTAGCATTGGGATATAGGTAATACTATACATGGATATTTTAATATATTGTTTACTATTTTAACACCTAATCTCATTTATGTATGTTATTAATATATTAACTTGTATTGTGAATTAAAATGAAAAGTGCATTGCTGGGACCCGAAATAATGTGGTTGATAGAGTAATTCAAAATTAAAGGCTGTTTGAAGTGACTGATTATGAATGATAGTTTGTTTATTAAAGTGAAACTTCAGAGTCTGTAAATGACTATTTTTCATGTTTTGGTTAATTTGATAAGGAGAGAGAACAGCCAAATGTATTTTGGTTGATTTATTTTTCCATGACAACTGACTTGCATGGTAAGTAGGGCATACACTGAGATTGTTTTTTAATATATATTTTTATGACTTAAAATTACTGCTTAATGTTGATGAAGTTTGCAGTACAGTTTAACAAAAATATTTTACAGATTTTTGTGAACAAGTAACTCAGAAACTAAGGTAGAATTAAATAGTAATTCTTTCTACCAATAAAAATATTAGTCTATTTGTACTAATTCTTTGGCAAATAAAATTAGCTTTTGGTACAAATTTCTTTCATTTAGCTAATTAAGCTAATACTGGAAAAAAAACTGATAATCAAAGGTAACTTATTAATAGTTATGATTTAACAGTGTTAATAGTTACATAGTTTCATGTTAATAAGGTCATAAGTGTTTGCTTAATGTCAGCTAAACACTGTTTTTCTCTGTAGGCCATTCACTTAAATCATTAATTTAGTTTGTAGCTCATCAAGAGCATGAATCTGGTTAAGTTCATGTGTCATGCATTGCTGATTGCACATGTACATGTTTTTATCATGTAAAGATAGTTATACTCTCATCTCTAAAATACACGAGATTGGTTCATAAAAATTTGATATTATACATCACCTGTAACAAATGTGATTGTTATGCTGCAGTTTGATATATTTTGTTCGTCAATCATAAATGTGGTCACTTTACATCAATTTTCTGTATTTGAGAATGTGCGAAAAAACAAATTTTATTGGTATACATCCGTTTGCATGTGAACACCTGAAGTAAGTATGATTGGTTTTTACATCAGACAGATATGTTTTGTTCATCTCTATCAAACGTCATTTGTTTTGTAACTTTTTGGTTAATGGAATGCATGCAAGTTATATCTATTGTAAGTAATCTGTGCGTGTGAGCATAAACACACGCATTATTTTACCTCAGATGAAACAAATATTCCAATAACCATCAAACAGTTCAGGACAATTTTTCTTGTAAATGAATAAGTAGTAAAAAGAAATATGCATAAATCAGCTGGAACTAAATAAAATTTTAATTTACTGGAATATTTGCACAGCACAGCAGTAACTCAGTACTGAAGTACAATACTGATCTTTTTTTTTCTCCCCCTTCTCTGACCAAAGGGTCTCAGGGAGATATTACTGATGAGTTAGGATGTTGTTGTCTGTCCATCCAGCCATCTGTCTGTAAACACTTACTTTCTGAAAAGTAATTAGTGTTCTGCACAGCAGATTTTAATGAAACTTTACAGGTCATTTCCCTTGGTAATGGGAAAGAACCCTAGTGATTTTGGAGTTAAAAGCTTAAAGATCAAGGTTACAATTTCAAGAAATAGAAAATTGGTTTCTATGCAAAATAAAACATAATCACAACATTTACAAACACAGACAAAAAAAAAAATTAGTAATGATTGGAGGAGAGATTATCCATTCTGTTAATGGCTACTTATCAACAATGACTAAGTTTCTATGTATAATGCTAGAATACTTGCTTGGAATAGCAGTTATTAAATGTTATATATATATACAGATAATATCTGTGTATTTCCAATAGGCACTAAACAAACTGGGATTGTGTATGGTACTGGGTTATTGCCTTAGAATTTGTGACCTGAATTTTTGATATTACATGTATAAGGCAGCTGTAAATGTGGTTGGACGTCTTCTTAAGACATCTTTCATGCATTAATGTACCATTATTATGGCAGGTAACAAATAAAATATGAAGATTATACACATTCAGGTACCAGATTTATAATATGCAACACAGTTGTACTGTTTGACCTTTTTATATAATCAGTGTGTTAATAAGAAATTCTTATTGCTCATAAATTATCACTTCAACATAATATTCTTCGTTTGTTACAGTAGGATAATTAATCCAACTAAATGAATACATTCTCTTTGTCGTTATGCAGTATTATCTTCGAAAAAAGTATTACTATACCTTATTATCATTTTTAATTGTGTCTGTAATAAGAGACACAAATCTTATTTTGAGAATTGGTTGGTCACTTACTGTGAATTCAGATTTTTGTAGTTACTAGGTGAAATGATATTATTTATTTAGTTTTGTAAAAAAAATATTAAAAATAAAACAGAATATGTTTCTGTCTTAAAAAATAATTAAATTGATAGAGTGACTAAAGAAAGAGATGAAGAGTACAACGTTATCAGACAAATTGATAGATAGCTATGCAAACTCACCCATTTCCCTTTACTGGGTTCCTGACCTATGTTCATCATTGAAGTCCATCGTTAAATTTGCTCCTAGTAATATTTAAAATCAACAATTTCAGAATTATCATAACCAATAAAGTATTTTGACATTCACAATAATGTTCCCAGAATAACTTAATGAAAACCATTTTAATGTGAGTGAAACATAAGATTACTTACGTCTTGTAGAACGTAATAATATAAATAGATATTTAAATCTATTGTATGCCTTATTAACAGAACTTTGTGAACAGAATTTTTTGTGCCTTTGTAGGAGAATGATTTTGATGCCTTAAAATATTTATAGACGTGAAAAAGTTGGGTTCTTTTTTACATTTTTCATTGAGTATTTTAAAGTTTTTAATTACTGAAGAAGTGGTAGATTTCAGATAATAGTATACAACTGTCACAACTCTTCATTAAAAAAATATATAATTTTAAGTTAAAAATAAATACGTTTTATATTTTATCAAATAACTATCGTTTTAAATTCATAACACCTATAATTTGAAATTAAAGAATTTTATATTTACGTTTGTAGTATTTGTAGCTCAAAGTTAATAGAATTTAATATCATTACAGTTCTACAGATGTGAAATAACCTTGAATCTATGTTTGTTCACGAATATGTGATAAAACTGGATTAACAGTATTCCTGAAATAAATAATAATAATAATATAAGCTACCAAACTTCATTCCTACAAAGTAAGTTTTGTCAAATCTATTTTGTTATTCTGAAAATTTGTTCATTAAAAAAAATGAATATTTTTGTACTTTATGTGAAAGTATAACAATAAAGTATTTATCGTCAACTCTGTCAATGTCTCGGTGTTATGTAGTACTGGAATGTAGATCATAACAAACTTTCAAGTAAGAATTATCGTTTTACACTTTCAAAACAAGTTTTCAAGAATGGGTATAATTGAACAACTGTAGGGAAAGCTTGTGTCAGTTCCACCGGACGTACGACGCTAGAAGTCCGGGATTCGATTCCCAGCGATGGATACAGCACAGGTAGCCCATTGTGTAGCTTTGCGCTAAAAACACAGCTCTTTAAGCAAATTCTTTATATAGATATAAATTAATATTTTTTCTATAATTAGATATGCTTTGTTAGTGTGCACTACAACAAGTAACATTTAGAAAAACCCTAGATTACAATGAATATGAAAAAAACAGTTCTTATCTTGAAATTTGTTTCTCCAGAAATCGTTACCCTTTGATTAATTTTTATAGGTATGACGTTATTGGCACAAAATATTTTAATGACGTCATTCTTTATAATTTGAGATTTTTAATTTATAACAAATATTTAATGCGCTACCGAAAGATGAACACTAACTAATATATATATTAGATTTAGTGAAATTTATGATATGTTAAGAGTATGTCTTCATCCCGAGGCATTGCATGCAGCCCCAGTTATCCGAGGTAGTAATAAATAGCTCTACACAGTAGGAGGCCTCACCAACGTTATTTTATCATACAAATCTTTATCCACAACGTCCCAGCAGAAATTCTTGAAGTATACCTGATTTAACTATTTAATGACGTTGTCTTACTCAAGTGGCTTTGCGGTAAGTGAAATATTTCATAAATCTATCGATATTTGACACCAGAACATATTTTGCTAATTAAGTCATATAACCTAAAACTTGCGGATTAAACATCGGGAAAAGATGAATAGGCCTAACGTTACGATAAAAATTTTATTACAAGCTTAAACATAAAAAATCATTTCAAGTATCATCGTTAGTTAAGACTAATGGCAATACATTTGGGCAAAAGAAAGATGTTTTATCCCCAAAATCTAATAATGAAACTGAAAAACTTCACGAAAATCTAATAAAGCATATGAATTTTAGTCACTAATCTCTATCTTAGATGTTTTTTAAACTCGCTAAGAAATTCGAAATGTCTACGTTAAACGAAGTATATGTACGGAATAAAACGTAAAATGATCTAAGAGAAAGCGAAACTCAAGCCAGCCATTGTAAACGTTCGAAGTATTATACACGAGGCTTAAGACAACAGTTTCAGGTCATAGTTTTCTTGCTAAGGGAAACAGACGAACGGAGCGTTCCCAAAAGACAACTGGCTTTTATGAGAAGTTCAGTAGTACTTATAGTAGGAATGAGCCAAATGTGCAATACAAATTAAAATCTCAAACACAGTGCAAACAGCATGTAATCAAAACTTTATAAGCTCTTTACACTTGCTGATGAGTAGTAAACAAACCAATTATAGAGTAACAAACCATCAAAGCACTCGAGAAAGTCAGTAGAGTAAAAACAAAAATTTCACAAAACCAAAAAATTTTCAATCTGTCTATCTGACTGACTAACGTTGTTAGAAAGGCATAGATCTCGCCTGCCTTCACCTTATGCAAATCTAAATACACGTGACTGAATTAGGTTACCTTGGCTAAAAGTGTTTTTCTTAGTTTTATTTATAACCTTGGTAATAACAAGTAATAACAATAACCATTTTACAACACTTAACGAGCTAACAAAACAGTAGCCATATTCTATGATTACAAGCAAACTGTGAATTGCCGAGAAACAACCTGCCCTCATATCACGTGCGAGTGCACGATTGCTTATGCGCATGCGCTACGTGATCAGCCTGCAGCTGTATCAGTTAAATAAAAACAACAACATGGACTACATAGATTCTTTAGATCTAAGTTGTAACTATGATCTAACCTTTGAAAGCGAAGTGTTCAGTTCTATACATCTGAATCAAGGGTTCTTTGTTGGATAAAGCAATTCTATCATAGCAGTAAGTACCTAAGACGTGAGCCTCCTACGCGAGGACGAACGCTATCACTGCCAAAGTCTGACACAGCTTTGCTCAAGCGCTCTGGACTTAAAACAAGAATGATAAGTTGTATAATTTACCTTTGCATTGTTTCCAAACTAAGTGTGACCTATTGACATAAAAGTTTGTTCTTGAAATAGTGCTATTTTTAAAATATGCTTTTCCAGGAAACAAAACGAGAGAAAAGAAGAACATCTTATGTTGATAACTTTGATAAAGTATGGCCATCGTTCCGCCCATTCTTACTTCGTGTGCTTTTTGAAACTTAGTAATTGTTCAAACTAAGTGAATGGTGTATGTAGCTAAATTGCACTGTTGTAAACCTTGTTTCAACAACAAGTACAGATACATGTATGAAATAAAATTACGTGACCCTAACAAAATGCATGACATAATAAGGGGGTGTTTGATGACGGAATTGAAAGAGAAAGTTCCAATAGTCATACTTTGCTTATGGGAGACATTATAGCTATATGACTGCTAAGGGATGGGCCAAAAATAGCATCAAAACACCTGATTTTTAAATTTGTTGAGTATTTAGAAATGATGAGCTACTGATAAAATTCAATTCAAGTCTATAAAATAAAACACAAGTAGGAATTAGCGGAATGATCACCACACCCACTTTGAGGTTGCACATGCTAAAAACCACCCAGTGTTGTAATGTTAACCCGCTCATTCCTACCTTGTTTCCTTACTTTTTAGTGCTCCCATTCCTACTTCCTAATTTTTTATTTAGAAATGTTTTACACTTATATATATTGGATGTGACCAATCAACATACTGTATATTAGTGAAAATTTCTAACTTTTAATTCTCCAATATATGACCCTTATATCGCTGTTACTTTTAAAATTAAATGTACTTCATTCACCTTGTAGTGTGTCGGAGAAAATGTCAGCCGACAATTAACGTTTAATTTCACCTTATAAGTGTTTTATTTGTATTAGCGGCGAGCTGCTTTGATCAGTTGCGTATTATAATATTTTTACATGAAAGCCTTACAGGTTAGTGTCATGTTAGTGATTGGCGTAAATAATTTGTTGTCATCTTAAGATGGTTAGAAGAGCTGTTTAATATAGAATTTTTTTCTGTTTTATATAATCATTGTGAAGTCTAATAATGTTTTAGAACAGTATCGTTGTGACTGACCCGCTAAAGCCTTGAAGCTGCACAAAGTAGTTTAAGAACGCCATCCATGTATGTGTGGAAGAATACAAGGAAAATCCTATTCCTTAAAACATAGTCTATGTTTCATGAAAATGTTCACAGTTTTCTTTACCTGTATTTTGTTCTTTTATCCCATTGTGTAGAGTTTAGATTAGATATATTGGAAAGGGGGGGGGGAGTTGTACACAGGAAGAAGTTTTCTATTAGGATTATAGTTCGATTTTCTGTACAGCGTGATTTAGTAATCCAAGGTGTACAATGTTCAGTATGTCTACTGTTAGATCAATTCTACTGGAAATTATCACGTTGGCTTGGTTGAAATACTATTCATATAATCTGTAAAGTAAATAATATTGACTGCTAAGAAACAACGAAAATAATACTTTTGACATTCGTAATTAACTCTTAACTGGACGGTAGAAGTTATTGCACTGCTAGCTAAGTATGTCGTCATGAATTAATTAACGTCATTTGTAAGACAAGTCATTCGTTGGCTATAAACAAAGCGTCAGTTTAAGAGAGTATTTGCATAAACTAGTATTCAGCCTGTTCAAGCATGCCATCTCCTCGTCATATGTCATGGGTAAGCGGCAAGTTTACGAACTTACAATCCTAAAATTCTGGGTTCGATTATCTACGGTGAAGAGAGTGCAGATAACCAATTGTGTAGCTTTGAACTAAGAAAAAATACTTATAAAGTTATGTGATACATGAAACTATATTTATAAAGTTAAATAGTTAAGAAGATTGAATATGAAAATCGTTTTCAAAGAGTGGATAAAAAAAGGGAAAATAGCTCTAATTTTTTTACATGTGAAAGCTTATGACAAATATGTTGAGAAAAATTCTCAGAAGGAGAATTTTTAAAGTTTAGGTTATGAAAAATTATACTTTGTAGACAATTAGTGACTCCTTTTCCATTAAATGTAAACGTTTGTGTTTCTAAAATATCAGAAAAATTCGAATCAGGGGTTCTTCCTTTTTCCTTAACGTCCTTGATAAACTCATGTCTGGGATGAGAAAAGAGTGAAAACTTTGAAATCTTCGTCGAACAATCAAATGTCAATAACTATCTCAAATCTAATAAAAGTTGTTCAATAAATTTGGATGTATTTTTTTTCATGTTCCAAACGCAAAATGAAATGAAATGTTTTTGGAATAGAAATTTTTTATTCTGCAGATTTATGTACCAATAATTCACAATCATCTTGAAAAGGTAGAGACGTTTCGTTCATTCACTCCTTTAGAAGAAGGTTCTTACACCGAATCAATCATGAGAATAAAATTATACCTGTCGATAGCTTTATAGGTTTATTGTGTAGATATATTCACCCAAAGAAATTTACTCGAGTCAAATGCTGTCATAAAGTGCGATAAGCTGTGAAAGATCTCGGTGAACAATTTTTTGTTTGATAGTTTATATGCTTTTTGTTCGGTTTTGTGTAATAAAACACTTCATAAGGCATTTAATCATTTACTACACGTTTTCCCTGTTAGTTTGAAAAGCGCGTTTTACGAAATGCGAGCATAATAATACGTGATTGTGAGCTACATTACTCCAAAAGTAAAATAACAAACTGGTAAGTTTACTGTCACTCGCATCTATAAAAAGTGGCCATACTGTCTATGACGTCAATGAAGATCTTATTCTCAAACCTACCAATTGTTCTCCACTTCTGAGTGCACCGCTGATGAAAGTAGGTCGGCTTTGATTTCACTATAGTTGTGGGATATATTTCAGTGTGATGTATTAAAGTATCGTGACATTAATATTCTGTGCTGATAAATGTCCTTATCGCCACCTCAACTGTTGTTGTTGTATAATATAAAAATCAAACGTTTTGTTTATCAGTCGGTTAGTGCGAAACACTTAAAATTAATTAAGATAATTGATTTATATTATTCTACACGTACCTGCTTGATATGTTTGAGAGAAATAATGTTTTTTTTTTCTAACTGCATTTTAACAACAGAACAATAAAAATCTTTGGCATTTTATAATCACAATGTTTTCTTACAAAGATCTTTGCTAGTAATGACAGGCCATACTGTGCAAGGTTAATTAATTTGGGTATTGTTATCGATACGTCCACTTTCGCCTCCATGGAGTTCTCCTGTTCCTTGATTAACAGGAATGACTACGCACTAACGTTTCGGTTTGCTTAGTACAACTTGTCAACCTAAACTAATCTGTTAACCACACGTTCGTCCCTCAAACAGTCTTAAGGGCCGCAACACCCCTTTTACCAATCACAAGCCAAAAATGATGCATTTAAAAAAAATTGAGACATATATGCAATATATGTTAGGATGAAGGGAGGCCTCAGTTTTTCCACCACTGATTACTACTGATGCCTGATTGCAAGCTATAATAATGAATAATAATTATGAGTCGATCATTGAGTGAGAATAAAAGTACACAAAGCCAAGATTCCCATATAACTTTCAAATAAACGGTAAAAAAAGACCTATACTAACTTAATTATTACATTGGTTGCAATGACATTCCTTTGTATAAATTTATACATTATTAAAACAGTCTGATAGTTTTTTATTATTGTTGTTACATTTAAGGATTGCAGTTCTACAACACTGTTCATATAGTTCATTCAGGCAGTAGTGTGAATAATAATTAAATGTATTAAAATATACATTTTCCTTGATAAAACATAGTCTACAAATGCAGTAAATTTTAAGGTCTATTGTCCTACAAACAAGTATTAGCTTTGTTTGGTTCTTTGAAGTTGAGCACAAAACTACACAATGGGCTATCTGTGCTCTACCCACCACGAGTATCGAAAACCGGATTATAGCGTTGTAAGTCCGCAGACTTACATTAGGGCGCTCGATTCGCAATCTGAGGCGCGCGGTTCAAATCCCCGTCCAACTAAACATGCTCGCCCTTTCAGCCGCAGGAGCTTCATAATGTAACAGTCAATCCCACTATTCGTTGGTAAAAGAGTAGCCCAAGAGTTGGCGGTGGGTGGTGATGACTAGCTGCCTTCCCTCTAGTTTTTCACTGCTAAATTAGGGACGACTAGCGCAGATAGCCCTCGTGTAGCAAAGTTACGCGAGGGCTATCTGCGCTAGCCGTCCCTAATTTAGCAATAATAGAAAAGTTAGTTAATTAACTAATTTCATGATTATTTTTGACACATTTTCATCTAAGCAAAATAGATCAGTTTTGTTTAATTTTGAACAGCAAGTTTGTGTTAGTCTACACGGTAATTTAACTTACGAATTATTTCACCAATTATACCACGCTACACTCACGCTTAATTTTGCAGAAACTACTTTGTATGAACCACGTGTTTTTATATTTCTAAAAGTAATATATTTATTACCTTTTTATTTTCGTGTGTATATTTGTACGAACAATGCGTTGTACATAGTACAAATGTATCATCTCAGTTAACAAAACTTACACCTGATGATGGTCCCAACGTAGAGGGCGAAACTATGCTGTGTTGTGAAGTTTTGTGTTTGTTTTGTTTTTGAATTTCGCACAAAGCTACACGAGGGCTATTTGCGCGAGGTTTTGTGTTAACGGAATTATTTTTCAAGGGCATTATGCAATGATCAATTTAAGTTATTTCAGATTGGTTTCTATTCTGTTGGAATTTTCTACAGTTTTGTATACTGGGCTGGAGGTGGCTACTGATTTAGTGTGCTTGGACCTTAAAATCTGAGTGTTTGTGGTTCGAGGCACGTTTTACACACAAAATAGTGACGGTCAAATGTCACTATTCGGTCAGAAAAGGTAGCCCAAGACTTGAGGTTAGATGCTATTATTACTCTAGCCTGTCAGCTTCAAACGAGGGACAGCTATGTAGAGATAACCATTTGTGTAGCTTTGCGTAAAAAGTATGAAAAAATTTTTTTCGTACAAGTATTTTTTGATTTTATTGGTGCATGTAATAAATTTCTGATAAACATTTATTGTTTTTCTGTGACATAATTTTCTGTGGTTTTAAATTACGGGATATTCTAAGACAGAAGTAACTATAAATAGTGACATTTTTTAAGGTTGAATTGGCCCGGCATAGCCAGATGGTTAGAGCGCTTGACTCGCAATCTGCGGGTCGTGGGTTCGAATCCCCGTCACCAAACATGCTCGCCCTTTCAGCCGTGGGGGCGTTATAATGTGACGGTCAATCCCACTATTCGATGGTAAAAAGAGTACCCCAGAATTGGTGATGATGACTAGCTGCCTTCCCTCTAGTTATTCACAGCTAAATTAGGGACGGCTAATGAGGATAGCCCTCGTGTAGTTTTGCGCGAAATCCATAACAAACAAACAAGGTTGAATTTGTGACGAAAATGTTTCCTGGATGGGGGATTGTTTATTAAATTTGTATGTACATAAAAACAAACTTAGATGTGTTATAAAAATAGCAAAAACCTTGATGTTTAAGAGAGAATTAGTATTTGTTGTTTTCTACAGTCTATACATGGTCGTCTCTGAAGCATCCATTGTAAGCCAGTGATTTTTGTACCTCTGGTTGAGTTAGTCCAGTAGGATTTGTACCTCTGATTGTGAAGTCCAGTGTGGTTTGTACGTCTGGTTGAGTTAGTCCAGTAGGATTTATACCTCTGATTGTGAAGTCCAGTGTGGTTTGTACGTCTGGTTGTGTTAGGCCAGTGTGGTGTGTACGTCTAATTGTGTAGTCTAATGTGGTTTGTACGTTTAGTTGTGTTAGTCCAGTGTGATTTGTACGTCTGGCTATGAAATCCAGTGTGGTTTGTATATCTCTTTGTGAAGTCAAGTGTGGTTTGTATGTCTGGTTGTGTAGTATAGTGTGGTTTGTATGTCTGGTTGTGTAGTACAGTGTGGCTTGTATGTCTGGTTGTGTTGTCTAGTGTGGTTTGTATGTCTGGTTGTACACTCTAGTGTGGTTTGCACGCCTGGTTCTGTAGAATGGAACAGATTTTGTTCAAGCGTGGATGTATGATGTCTATATGTTTGATTCCCAATGGTTACGGTTTGTTTCAGTATGGCCGAAGATCACAATAAACTTCTTTGAAAAACGTTGCCCGTTACCGTTCTTGTCCGGTTACTGTTCTTGTTCAGGTTACTGTTCTTGTCCGGTTACCGTTCTTGTTCAGGTTAGAAACCTGGCAAAATCTGTAATGCGAAAAATACAAAAAAAAAAAACTAGAAAAAAAATACCAAAAATCCTAGCAAAACTGTCTAGATCGTTTCTCTTGAAAAGGGTCCTCAATGCTTGGACATTAAATTTACACGAGTATATTCTTAAAAGTTTTTTGTGCACTGTAAAAAAAGCGTTAAAAACAACACAAAAATTTGTCTGGTGTTTGAATGGCTACAGTACAAGTTCAAGTTGAAAACAACACAGTCATTGTGAGGCAACAACACATAACACAATGTACTAGATGATACATAGTTTTTAATGTTAAATGTTATACAATCTACATAGACATAATAAATATTTGACTTCACAAAACAACAATGTATATACACATAATTTGGAATTGAAAACAGCACGAATTTATGTTGTTAAACAACAAAACAGAATGTTTGTATTTATATCGCCACAAAAATCAACTGTGTTGTGGTTCACTAAAGTATGTGTTTAGGGAAAACAACTTGTATTATTGTGAAATAACATAATGTTAATGTTTGTGTGAACGTAAAATTTTTTATAGTGTGTTTGGACCAAAATAGTGATAATATATTGAAATTATGTATTACAGTGGTTACATGCTTGGATCAAAATGTAGCATTGCAAGAGATCCTCTCTGAGGATTATTCATAAAAGTGAAGGCCAAGAATTGACCGTTTGCTGAAAAATTGCAATAGAATGAATGTAACGTTGAAGAGAGTTTACTTAGTTATAGAAAAGTTAAAAACTATGCAAGAAACATCGGTTTTGTAATTTGATTCGGGCATTTTTTAAACAATACAAATTACAGACCTTCTGACTGAAATAAAATGTTTATTGTCTGTCTTTTATTATTGGTTGCTACAACATAGATACGACGTAAGATATAATATTAATATATATTTATATGCTCACGAAACTTTTATGAAAATTTTAACAAAGAAGATGATTGGATATTTTTATTTACACACCAAAATATTAGCCACATCTACCCTTTGCGGTAAAAAACAAAGCCGGATACAAGTATTCTATAGCAGTAAAGACGTGAAGATATTACAGTGAATACTACATTTTACTTTTAAGAATAATTAATTTAGGCCTTTATTTCTGGACATTCTTCTGAAATATAGAAAAATTCGCTATAGAAATAATGAGGTCTACAATATAGCTTATTGTTAAACATTGTAAGCATTATTTTATACATAGGTTTCAGCTTAATAAAAACAAAGGCTTATTTCATACTTAAGCAGCTGATTGTTGATCATTTTAAATTTGAGATATATTATTTAGTCATGTCATTATTTTCTAACTGTTTAGTTATATTGTCATTAATATACGAAAATGCATCGTAAGAGGTTCAGTAGCATGGTTAGTGTGCATATAGACAACACGATTGCGAGAATTATTCTAGTTTTATCCTTACAGATTGTCATTTAATTGAGCATCTAACTCTTATGTTCGAAAACATTGATGTCATGAATAAATATCTATTTTACTTTTCATTATAATGAAAAATAAAAGATGTTTGAAAATCATTAGACTTTTATATTTTATTTCCACACTCAAGAAAGTTTGATAATACTGATGGCTTTTGCAAAAGAAATGCCAGTGTTTATTGTAGAATGTATACATAAGGTCACTGATAACAGATCTAAAGGCCGATTTTAAAACTTTAATTAATAACGGTAACCATAAAGGATATTACCAAGCAGTACGATTATTTAAATAGGAATGTGACGCCATAATGACATCAATATTGGTCGTTAAATGCCAAGACGTGACATAACACCTATCTATGATACTAATCTAAAGTTTAAGTAAACTGTAAAAATTGAGGGTCCATTCTGTTACGGTTGCATGAAGCTATTCTTGACAGCTTTTAAAACTGATTTGTAAAACATATTTTACTTGAAAAAGATATCAATACGAACTCGCAATTAATCATTTTGATATTTTTATCGCTAATAATTATATCGTAAGATTTTTATTTCTCATTTCTCCGGCCGATTGTTCTTCTCCTGTAACAACTACACAAAGGATCGTGATAAATGAGTTTCCTACCAACCGTGCACGTGCAACCTAACTATTAGAGGATCAAAAACAACCATAAATGTTTGTGTGTATCGCTGAGCAAGAGAAAAACATGCGCCAGTCAGAAAAGTAGATTTGTTGTGCGTTTTACAGAAATTTTAAAGTTAACAACAACAGCCGAAGGCATGAATTTCAAAACAAAAAACTGGAGACAAAAAACCAAGACTTCCTCTAAACATGGATTTAGTGTTTGAAAACATAATCTCATAAGACTGATGGATAAGGTGTAACGTTTTTACTCATTTGAAACGACGTCAAAACGATAGCTTCTTGTCATTCAGTCTCCATCTGAAATAAAAAAAAAGTATATGTAATATGCACTGAAATAATTTACGTAAGGAAACTACGTAATTCATTCGTCAGTATGCTTTTGCCTAGTATTATTAGCTAATTGTTTTGAATATTTTTACAAAGTTTTATGTTAATTTTGAGTATATTGTTACGTCTCCGATCGTTAGTTAATTTTCCGTAAATTCGTTCCGACGAAACTTTAGCGACACAAGTCCTTTCCTAAATCAAACTGGTTTATTCTCTATGAATACAACTTTGCGATACACTTAATTTCAACAGTCGCACTTTAACAAACCCTATAATTCTCAACGAACGTCTCACGTACTCGACTTCAACAATACTCAGTTCGATTACACATTGTTCCGTCACGTTGTGACCGTCTTATATATACCAGTCTACCCCCAATATAGTAGTCTCCCGAC